GTAAATTCAGGTGTAAATGGTAGTGTCGTCAGCATAAATGCCAACTTGAGAACTGATGACATCAAGATGATCATTGATTAAAATTAGAAACTGTGTAGGACCCAGAATAGAGCCTAGAAGAATTCCTGCATTCGTATGGAAGGAACTGGAAGAGAACCCGTTCAGGACGACTTTCATTTCACGATTTGATAGGAATGATTGGATTAAACCAAATCATCGTCCTGTAATACCGTAACCCTGAAGCTTATGCAGAAGACCAGAATGTCAAACCCTATTAAACGCCTTCGAGGTATCTAGAATTACAGCTTGAGCTTCGCTGTTATTATCTAGAGCTTTATATACATATTCAGTTATAGCTATAAAAACATTATCGAGTCAGAGAGTAGATTGTGAGAGGTAAGATGTTTAACCACTTCGGCATTGATTAAAGCTTCGAAGACTTTACCGAACAGCGGTAGGAGACTGATAGGGTGGTAGTTAGAGGGGTCAGTATGTTCGCTAGAGTTTTTAAAGACAGGGACAACAGAGGAGGATTTCCAACTGGTTTGTAAAGCAGGAAGCAGCGAGACAATGGTTGTATAGTTTGGAGACAATAGAACTAGCTCAAAAGCACATTTTTTTAGGACGGTGGCTGGTATACCGTCACTTCCACTTGCCTTATGGGAGTCTAATTTAGAGATGATGTTCGAGACTAACGACGGATTTTTGCATAACTTCTCTTTTTCCAGGAACCATTCTTTGCTACTACTAGATTGTATTGGGTTTCGTGCAGCTTCGTATATTAGATTTCTTTGTAGGCACACTGTTACAGCTTGGTGGGGTACTGGTGATTTTATGAGTTGTAGCTAGTGTCCTCTGGTGTTATAGTCAGGTTTTAGAATATTTCTGTTGAATATTTGTAATATTATTTCGTTAGTCCTAAATAAAAGCTAACATTATTAATGTATGGAAGCCGAAAAGTTTTGAAAAAATGAACAAGTTACATATTCTTCATTCTTGCCTAAATTATATTTTTACTTCTTTAAACCGTACCACGAAATTAAAACCCCTAATAAATAAATTTAACATTTCAATAATCACTAATAATGAACATTTTCAGCTGATAGGGAGAAACGAAATTCGATGTACTATATTACATTTTCTTCTTATTTCAAACTTTTGACCATATTGGTCATTTTTTTTCTTCTAATCATTTCACTACAAACAAGGCAATAAAGCCACTAAGATGCAAGGGTTATTGAATGTTACAGAATGTGATAAATGAAAAATATTATTAAGGAGAGAGAACAAGACCGTGAGGAAAGTTGGCTCTCTGTGCCGCGCCAGGAAATTTTTCTCCCTTGAATCGATACTTCAAATATACAAAACAACCAATCGTCCTTGCATGGAGTATTGCTGCCATATATGGGCTGGGGCCCCTTCTGCTTACCTCGGAGTTCTTGACAAGATCTAGAGACGGATATGTAATCTAATTGGCCCTGATCTAGCGTCTCGTCTGCAGTCACTCTCTCACAGACGCGCCGTCGCCTCTCTCTGTCTTTTCTACAAATACTTCCATGGTAACTGCTCTGACGAGCTGCTTTCTCTGGTTCCCAGACTCCATGAATTCAAGCGCCCTACGAGGCTGGCATCCCGCTCCCACCCTTACACTGTAGAAACTCTTAAATGTAGCCGTCTCTTCTACTCCAATAGCTTCATACCTCGCACCTCTCGCCTGTGGAACACCCTCCCCAATTACTGTTTCCCTGAAAGCTATAATCTCCAACTATTCAAATGTAATGTCAATCGACATCTCCAGTTACCTTGATCTACCCACTATCCTTCTCCTCATCCTTTCTCCTATCACTCCTATCTGCTCCCGCTCCAAATCTTCCGCAACCCCCTGCATCCTAGTGGCTTCCCGCCTTGCTTGGGGCGTAATGCTTAAAAACAAAAAAAAAATAGGAATTAAGAAGACAGAAGATAACGATTGACATTGCTTTTAAATTTTTGATGATAAACGTTGACTGGAAATTAAGAAGCTTTTCAAAAACGCAAAGTGCGATAAAATTGCCAAAATCTGACATTTTCATTGATCAGTCACACTAGTGATAGACAAGAAAACATGATCTACGGAAAAGACGAAATGTTCTGATTCGAGCACCAAGCACCAAAAATTGAGTTTCTATTTTGTGAGTAAAAGGATGTCTAACTTCATTATATTTTCCTTTTTTATGCTACCATCATTTAAAATTATGGATGTTTGCATGAGGTGAGGAACGAAGGAAAAGGCATGAAATTTGATTTTTCAGGTTTTTGTGATCTTCGTTTACTATTTCTTTATTTTTGTAAAGATCTTTCCTCTTGTTTGGTGTTGTGAAGGTGCAAACACGATGGAAGATTTATATATAATGTCTCTCCAACCATCGCAGGTGGAACACCATTCTTTCCTCTGCTTTATCGTTAATGAAGATTCAATGCGATGGAAGATTTACATATAATGTCTCTCCAAATATCGCAGGTGGAGCACTATTCTTTCCTCTCTTTTAGCGTTAATGAAGACACAAACGCGATCGAATATTTACGCATAAAGGCTCCCCAATCATCGCAGGTGGAACACCATTCGTTCCTCTGCTTTCTCGTTAATGAAGATTCAAAAGCGATGGAAGATTCATATATAACGTCTCTCCAACCATCACAGGTTGAATACCATTCTTTTCTCACTTTTAGCATTAATGAAGATGCAAACGCGATAGAATATTTACATATAACGTCTCTCGAACCACCACAGGTGAAATACCACTCTTTCCCCTCTTTTAGCGTTAATGAAGATGCAAAATCGATGTAAGATTTATTTATATCTCTCCAGCCATCGCAGGTGGAATACCATACTTTCATATCTTTTAGCGTTAATAAAGATGCAAACGTAATGAAATATTTACATATAATATCTCTCCAACTATCGCAACTTTCATCTCCTTTCTCCTTTTTATTGCTGTTATTAAAAAAAAAACAAAACAAAGAAAAACAAAAGGTATTTTTCAAAAAAATTTCATTTTTTTTTTCAAAAATATATTGCTGGTTATAACTTCTCTTCTAAAATTTATCGCTGGTAATAAACTCTTTACAAAAATGCTTTGCTGGTTTTAAAACTCATTGTTACACTTTCACAGCGCCCCTACCCCAACCGCTCTCAGATGGGACCCCAATAGGTGCCACCAAACTATACAACTATTGTCTCGCTGCTTCCTGCTTTACAAACCAGTTGGAAATCCTCCTCTGTTGTCCCTGTCTTTAAAAACTCTAGCGGATCTACTGACCCCTCTAACTACCACCCTATCAGTCTCCTACCGCTGTTCGCTAAAGTCTTCGAAGCTTTAATCAATGCCGAAGTTGGTTAAGCATCTTACCTCTCACAATCTACTCTCTGACTCGATAATGTTTTTATAGCTATAACTGAATATGTATATAAAGCTCTTGATAATAACAGCGAAGCTCAAACTGTAATTCTAGATATCTCGAAGGCGTTTAATAGGGTTTGACATGCTGGTCTTCTGCATATGCTTCAGGGTTACGGTATTACAGGACGATGATTTGGTTTAATCCAATCATTCCTATCAAATCGTGAAATGAAAGTCGTCCTGAACGGGTTCTCTTTCAGTTCCTTCCATACGAATGCAGGAATTCTTCTAGGCTCTATTCTGGGTCCTACACAGTTTCTAATTTTCATCAATGATCATCTTGATGTCATCAGTTCTCAAGTTGGCATCTATGCTGACGACACTACCATTTACACCTGTCTCAATTGTAAATTGAGCAGCGCTGACAAAGCTAACCTGGTTCTCCAATCAGTGGTTAACTGGGGCAATAAATGGCTTGTAAACTTTGATGCCTCCAAAGCAAAACTGCTCTCATTTTAACCACCATGCAAAAACTTCCCTGCCCTGCACCAGCAGGGTTGTTACTCGACTCCGAGCATGTCCCACTGCGCCTTCTTGATCTCACGTTTTCCAATGACTTGGGGTGAAACAACTACATTGAATCAATAGCTGCAAGGAAAGTCGGTTCACTTTGTGGTTCAAGAAGATTTTTTCTCGCTAGAGTCCATCTACAAATCAACCATTTCTCCATGCCTTAGTCTGGTGCCCCTACTGTTCATTTCGAGGTCCTCGACAAAATCCAAAGGAAGATCGGCGATATAATCGATCCTGGCTTGACATCACGACTTCAGACAGTTTCTCATAGACATAGGGCTGTCGCTTCCCTCTGTCTTTTCTACAGATATTTTCATGGCAACTATTCTATCTTCCCTGATGCTCCGACTGCATGAATCTAAGCGCGCTACAAGATTGGCATCTATGTCCCACATTTTTACTGTTGAAATATCTAAATGCAGCCGACACTTCTACTCCAGCAGTTTCTTTTCTCGCACTTCCCGATAACTACAATCTTCAAAAATGTAAATGCAACGTCAGTCGCCATTTTCTGTCGCCTTGATCCCCGTTCTTCTTTTATCCCCCCCACTATACCCAGTCTTTTCTCTTTCTTTCACTCTCTGTAGCCCTCTGCGTACTGGTGGCTTCCCGCCTTGCTTGTGATGAAATGCACAATACATACATAATATATATATATATATATATATATATATATTATATATATATATATATTTATATATATACTCCCGTACACTTACACACGCACGAAGAAAGAAAGAAAGAAAGAAAGAAAGAAAGAAAGAAAGAAAGAAAGAAAAATAGAAAGAACATAGAAAAATAGAAAGAAAGAAAGAAATCGGTATAAGACATAGGAGTCAAAAAGAAAGAAAGAAAGAAAGAAAGAAAGAAAGAAAGAAAGAAAGAAGAAAAAAGAAAGAAAGAAGTCAATTAAAAAGAAAGGAAGAAATTCGTGAGAAGGGAATAAGAACGAAATATGCTAATTATTAAGAAAGAAATGAGAAAGAAAGGAAAGAAGAAAAGAAGAAATGAAGGAATCAGAAAGAAAAAAAATGGATCAATATAGAAAGAAAGAAAGTAACTTACGTGAAAGAAAGAAAGAAAGAAAGAAAGAAAGAAAGGAAAGGAAAGGAAAGGAAAGGAAAGGAAAGGAAAGGAAAGGAAAGGAAAAGAAAAAGAAGAATGACTTCAAAATTGGATGATGGTAAAAGTAAGAAACAAAATGGAAGAAGACGAAACCAACGACGGCGAGAAAGAAACTCGAGAATAAGTAAAAGCCTGAAAAGAAAGAAACAAGAAGTTCGAATAACGAAATTATTCGGAGGCAGAATGGCGTACTGTAGGGTAGCATCCGGATAAAAGCAAGATAAGAAAAGAAAGTGATTGAATCAGAAACAAAAGATTATAGAAAAAAAAAGAATAAGACAAAAAAGGTTATATAAGCCGGGCCAAGAATGTCACAAGCGTAAGAAATCTAAGCCAAAAGAAAGCAAACAAAATTCATAAAAACTAAAGCCAAATTAAGAGAGAAATGCTTAGGGAATTTGAAAGCAATAATTCGGGTTCCCTTGAAGCTTTCTCTCGCACATTCTCGTCCTTCGTTTCTATTTCAGTGTTCCTTATCTCGTCAGGGACGAATGAGATTGCTGTTCGCCGACAATCTATCAACCCGCTCGGAATTAGACATTCTTACGGTATATTTCTTGTCTTTCTTTTTAAAATCCTTTTAAAAGCGAGTAGGCTAAAAAGTGTCTCCCAAGTATCTGCTTATAATACTGAGATTGAAAAGGGAGTAAAGAGCGAAATAAGGGAAAATGATTTTCTGGAACATGCAATCTGGTTGCCTGTGTCAAAACCACCGGCCGAATAATGAAAGGATTTCATTAACATTTTCTAAACGCCGGCATGACAATCAGGTTTCGTGACACAAATAAGAATCCCTTCTCATCGAATGTTCTTCGACTTTTGTGTATTTTCTAATTAAATACAAGAAAACAAATCATTCCACGAATGCTAAACATTGGCTGACATTAAGAAATAAGTTGTTTTAGTGCCATTTTCATCTTTTCTCTTTTCCTCGCTATATTCAGCGTGCTCTCCGGGCTTCTGTGCCTTATTAGAGATTTGCAGAGGAATCATTGTGACTATATAATTTCTTATCTACAGTTTCAGCCCATGTACTCTTCAGGCTTCTTACATTTGTATAAGATTCTACAGTGAGCGATTGCCCTTAGATATTTCAGCTAATTTCTTAACCTTTTAAATTCATTCCTACTTTTCAGCCGTTCTGGTCTTCGGGCTTCCTACTTCTATACAAGATTATGCATCAGTCATTGTTCTAGAATCTGTTTAAGATCATTTCTTAAACGCTTGCATTTATCCCTGTTTTTCAGCCGATGTGGTTTGCTGGCTTCCTAGTTTTGTATTAGATTCCGCAGAGAATCATTTTCATTATTCTATGCGATAATAGGGTTAATTTATTATCCTTTTACTTTTTATCGCTAAGTTTTGGCCGATGTAGTCTTCGGCTTTCCTATTATTCTCTAAAAGTCTAGTAACTTTATTAATGGTAGATTATTTTCCTTCAATAAAACAAATACTGGAAACATATAACAATACGACACTACAATACAGGGAAGTATTAAAATATTTAGCTATAAAAAAAACAGAGGTAATATTTTGATAAGTTTAAACCCCCGCCGTCTCTCTTTATTGTTGCATTGTAATTCATGAAAATATTTCTAGAATGCATATGACTATGTTGGAATTGTCCTCATTTTCCTGTTGTTCTTGATCGCAACGATTAAGTTTTGTCTTTTTGTTTTTTCGTTTAGTTATGTTCATGTACTTTTAATTTTCTGTATGCAATCAGGCTACATACTTATATATACAAATCGAAATATTGCTGCCAGAGGCGGTAATAAACCAGTTTCCTGAAAACGATAATTGCTTGATAATTTTTCAATGATTTTGTTTTTATAACTTGACACGATAATAAGTGAGGTTGATTTCGTTTCAGAAAAGGTAGAAAAAGATTGCATGATTTGTTGCGTATCTTATCGATGGGACAGGCAGCTCCACACTGCAAGAGTTCAATAAGTGATGTTAATCGGGGGTGTTGGCAAAAAGCGATAAACACTGAGAGATAAGGAGAGAAAGAGATAGAATCAGGTTAACAGCGAAGGGCTAGAAACAGAACAATTTGATTGGCTTAGAGATAAAATGTAATTTTCATTAATCACATCTTAGCTCATTGAGTTTTTATTTAGTTTTATTTACACTCTTTTTTTTTCGGTGTCATTTTACAGTTCAACTTATTGACTGTTGCTTCTAGCATAATTTTAGACCAATACACCCTTCATTATTTTATTACTAGTTTTAATTCCATCTTTTTTTTGTTAACTTTAATCTCAAACATTTGGGTCGATAATCTTCATTAGTCCTATTATTTTATTACTAGTTTAATTATTAGATTATTATCACTAATCATTTCACTCCAGATAAAGTAATAAAGCCCCTAAGATGCAAGGGGTTACTGAGCGTGAAAGAATATGAGAAATTAAATCATTATCAAGGAGAGAGGACCAGGAATTTAGAAAACAGACGATACCGATTGACATAGGATTGAAATTTTTGAAGAGATCAAAGTTGACTGGAAAGCAAAATGTTGTAACAGAGAAATGCCAGGGTAAAATAAAAAAAAACTGTTAGCATCGAACTTACGGTCACGTCGAACCAATTCAATTGTAAAATGATAAGACCTTGTCACCAATGTCTTATTTTGATTAATGTCTAGAACCTATAGAGAAAAACTCATCAGAAAAATTGCCATGTAAATATTTATAGAAAAAATAACTGAAGCCAGAACCAATAAAATTGCTGGTTATTTTTTGGGAGTTTATCAGAAACTAGCAGTAGAGCCCGGCGTTGCCCGGGGATGTAACAGTAAGAGATAGATCAAGTATCGACCATCATAAAGACTGAAAAATAAAATTGACAAAGATTATTGTTTAAGGTTGACGGACACGCATGTCTTAATTGGTTTTGTTTCGTTTTTTTTTTTGTTTTTGTTTTTGTTTTTTGTTTGCTTTTTTGGGTTTTTTTTTTACGAATTGGTCAAACCCAAACTCAAACAAAAGCATTGTTTTCAATCGTTATGAGTCTACCGATTGAATAGAATTTTATTATAAACAATTGTCTTGTAAATGGAATTTTTAAAGCATTCTGAATGTAAAAATAAAGAAAAAAGTGTGCAAGATAATAAGAAACATTACCTGCCAAAAAAAGTGAAGTCTTGTTGAAATCGGTTGAAAAATGTAGGAAATCCGATCCCATATATAAACGAACACACACACAAACAACCTGGGTTTTATAATAAGTATAACTCGATATGAGTTGACCCCCTTTCATTCTCGCAACAGCGATGCGTCTTTCGTGTTTTCAAATTTATTTCGTGCAGAAACAATTGTGTTTTTCCAATTTTTGGCGCTGTCACAACCACCGCAATGTAATTTTACGTAGTCTTGTGAAGTTTTGTTGAAATCGGTTGAAAAATGTACGAAATCCGATCCAATATATAAACGTACACACACACACACACACACACACACACACACACACACACACACACACACAACCTGGGTTTTATAATAAGTATGATTTCTAAATGTATAGCAGAAAAGAACCAGAGCAGAAGTGACAGAATTATTTTGTTTCTTTGTTATCTTTGTTGAAATACTTTTTAGACCGCCAGATTAAGCATTTCCCTTTCTCTGAAATAAAGAAATTACTTCATTTTTTTTGTTTTGTTTTTTTGCACTAAGGTTCACCCGATACAAGCCCCGGGTCCCACTCGCGTTAAAGATTTACATTAAAGGGTAGTTTATATGGATAGGATTGGAAGATAACGATTAACAATAGATTGAAAAAGTTAAGATTGTAGGGCTCGAAGAAACATCCTGTTGGGAGTCTGTTTCACAGAGCAGTGGTTCGTGGGAAGAAGCCTTTCGTGTGGAACTTACTTCTCACCGATGGAATATGGAAGGAATGTGGGGGGTTTGCTAAAATGTAATTGGGATGGCGGGTCCTAGCCGTGAAGGTGAGACCTGGCGGAACTAAGGACTGTAAACAAAACTCAAATCTCATACCTAGGGAGTTTATCTTTCATGGACCCCACGACAATCATTTCTATATTATGTCATGTGATTCTATTAATCTTGTGTAAATTAACTGAAACAATCGCTTTAGTTTCCTTTCTTTCACCATTAGGTCAGTTTTAGACCCACTAGAATGGCAGCGTGTAATCGATTTCTATTTTTTCCTCAGACGAGGTCATTTGGGGCGCTGATCAGTAATATAAAACTATTTTTGGGGTGTATGATGAAATTGGTTTGGTCTTAAAAAATACTGAATCAACCGTGGTTGTATCAGATTTTTATCACGTCCAGACACTATTGTCTCTACTGTCGATTAGTTGTCCTACGTCCATTTTCTGTGATGGACGTGACTCCAAGGAAACAGAGAAAATTGTAACGTTGCACGAACACACTGGCAAGCCTTACAGAGAGATCACGGACTGTACGATGAAAGAGAAGCTCGTGACGGCCATTATAAACGTGTTGTACCGCGACACTAAAATCAATGAGGACTGCTTCAAATTAGTGGATTCCATGCGAAATCGAATCAAAGAGATTTTCAAAAATAAAGGCGGACATACGAAGTAGTAACATTTGCACTGGGTCATGTTTCATTGGGAAAATTCGAAAAAAGTAAATAATAACGAAATTATTCGTTTTGTTTCAATTAATTTACACAAAGATCGTCCCCTTTAACAGTTTAGTACTGCTAAACCATTATCTCGTTTGGGGAGTTCGATCCCGACCGGCAATCGTGTGTTCTTATGCTAAACATGCTATATAGATAGATAACAAGACATAGAGAATTACGAGTGAGAGGGAGGGTGGGGTTAGAATTACCAGTGAAGGAAATAGAGGGAGAATAAAGACTAACAGAGGGATATGGAGGAGAGAGCGAACGGGAGTGGGGAGAAGTAAGGGAGGAAAGAAAACGATTTCACGTTCTCTTTTGTTTTGTTTTTTTTTTGTTTTGTTTTTTTTTTTGTTTTGTTTTGGGTTTTTTTCTGCTTTTTATTTTATTTTTTTATTTATTTCATTTTTGTTGCAGTTTTTGAGAATCTGCAGCGGCTGGCAACAATTCCAAACAGGGAAACAACTCTAAAATTTTGGAGAATCACTAGCCTTCTTGTCTTGAAGGAATTTATTTTATTAATCTTTCGGGGCTATATTTCGCCGTATGCACCGCCAACTGCCATTCCTTTTGAACATTAGGTAAGGGAGATATAACTCGTGTAATACAACAGCCGGAATATACACGGGGATTGTTGTCAAAACTGATGTTGATCATTTGAGATTAAATAGGCTAAGATGACCACGGGAATAAGGTTTGGATAAGAAGAGTATTTTTTACCGTTATTCTTGAAACTGTACCATGCAAAAGGAAACCAACAGATCCTTGCATCACAAGCAGCAAAGAATAAAAAAGAGATTTCGGATAAAACCAAGAAATGTTAGCTATCACAAGACCATGCCTGTTATCTATGTATCTAAAGATACGTATATATATACATATATATATATATATACATATATATATATGTGTGTGTGTGTGTGTGTGTGTGTGTGTGTGTGTGAGTGATTGAGTAAATTACAAACATTATATCTACTAACTTATATCGAATATGCACGAATATTTTCCGTATATTACAAATTTTAATTTAATTTTGATTGTAATACAAGGAAAATATTCGTGAATATTAAAGGATTATGATAAAAATAATCAGTTATAATATGTAATATATTGTAATGTCTTGAGTCAAACATGTCTAAAAGAGAATTTGCAGCTAAATACACAATTATACATACATATATATATATATATGTGTGTGTGTGTGTGTGTGTGTGTGTCTGTCTGTGTGTGTGTTTCTCTATTTAATGTGTTAACATCACACACACACACGCATAGACACAAAATATTCATTTCCAGTTATAAAGGTGGAGATAAAATATAAATATAATTACTCCTATCTAAATATTTATTTTTTATATATATATATATATATATATATATATATATATATATATAAGAAATATGTTGTAGTGGTTCCAACGAGAGAAAAGTATGTATATTAAAAGAAGAGAGGTGCTGCAAACGTTTTTGGTTGTAATGTGGATTTATTTAGAAAAAAATATTATGCTTTGTTTTACATAATTTTACGACACGTGTTTCTGGTCTCGCGACCGTCTTCAGGTAAAAGTGGAGATTTCTAAATATTATTAAAAATAATTAATTTTTCTTCATGTTCAATGTGAAATATTCTCGATATGAGACATTCTCTGTTTGTGTGTTGGTAATCCGAATTTCTTTCTAGAATATATATATATATATATAATAACAAAAAAAGGTTATGGTCAGAGTTGAATTAGACCAGGAAAGAGTAGTATTAAGAAAGTGCTCAGTACACATACAAAAAGATAAAAAATTTAACATGTAGTGCTTTTAAGTATAAAAAAAGGATATACCTGAAGATTACATTGTGCATGAGTCGTGCTACCGGTGAGAATAAATATGTATATTTAGTAACATATAGTCTATGTCCCTATTATGTTACATCAAGCACTATTTTATTAACACCAGCACTCAATGTGCAACAATATATAAACGATAGAACTTATTAGGGGAGATTTGCATAAACAAATCAAAGTAATTCATCGAGTCTAGAAGAATCCTCAACGTTTCGTCTTATATTTGAGACTCATCAACAATGCGCATCCACTATCGCGAACCGAACAAGCGTCATATCAACTGTACCAACGGGCCTCGGTGACAAAGAGGTAACTATCTAAACTCGACATAGCGCTGCTCTCACTTTTCGTGGTGTAACTCATCGAAGTATACATTTCCCATGAGACTGTGACGCAAACGTCAACCCCACCACGAGCAACGTCTTCTTTCCCCCGAGCCGCTCCCTCCGGTGCATTAGAAGCTGGTTCAAGCAAGGATATACAAACGATAGAAATTATTAGGGAAAGTGAGAGTAGCGCTATATCGAATCTAGAGTGTTAATTCTCCGTACTGTTGGTGCAGTTGGTATGACGCATGCGTCGTATCCTAACGATCCTGGTTTGATTATCGGTCGTGGATGCGCATTGCTAATAAGTCCCAAATATAGGCCGTCCATCTTCATTCTGTTGAATCTAGTCTCGATGAATTACTTTGATATATATATATATATATATATATATATATATATATATATATCAAAATTATTCGTGTGTGTGTGTATAATATTGAGTGGTGATGTTAATAATGTTGCGCTAATACCTTCCACTTACCACTGGCTTCCCTTTAAGACTATTAACTCCCACACTGACCACTGCCTCATGCCTTTCGTCTGACTGAAACATTGAAATGGATAAATTCTGTACCAATTTTTCCGATGCTGTCACAGTTAAACTTCTAATTCCGACAGGAACTCAGTCTGTATACCGGGCTTGAATAAGACTGACGAGTTTTTTGTCGATTGAAATAGGACAATTCCACATGTGAGGAAATTTTGAATTTTTTCGTTTACTACTAATTATTTGCATAATAAATACATTGATCTCTTTTTGTCGATCAGTTTTAATATTTTACTATAATCCACTAGGTGTATATACCAACGGATATATTACCTTTACTATATATATATATATATATATATATATATATATATATATATATATATATATATATATATAGAGAGAGAGAGAGAGAGAGAGAATATTACTGGTCAAAAAATATATATATATATATATATATATATATATATATAAATTTCAAGAGGATAGAATCAGGTAGAGCTCAATGTCCAGGACAGAGCAAAAATATAATATAATATAAAGGCTCAAACACTAATATTCCATGGTTATAATTTATTATAACCATGGAATAGTGTTTGAGCCAATTTATATATATATATATATACACACACACACACACACACACACACACACACACACACACACACACACATATATATATATATATATATATATATATATATATATATATATATTTCAACCAAGAGGTTTGAATTCGTATCTCACCATAGCCGATTTTATCAGGAAGGTGACTTCTTGTTGTGACCCTCTTGATAAGGCGATCACAGTGCTTGGCGCATTTGAAAAGTGCTACCGGTTGGGCCAAGCCAAGTGTACCGGCCTTGTGCAAACTGCTTATCATGACATGTTATGGTCTCTAGCTGTAACTAGGCATAGTTGCAATATAACTTACAGTTTGGCGCTGTAGGTGTTAAACAAGCGCAAATGTGACTGAGCCGGCAACCGCTACAGGGATTGGACAGCCGCCCTAGCAGACCGATATGTTCGGATAATTGCGGCCAGGCATCAACTGATATTATCAATGACAACAAGAAAAGTTATCTTAACCGATGCAAATGAATTTGCCTTGTTAATGTCCCTCAGAGGACGAATCGCGTCGACCAAGTTTTCCTTTTGACTTTTTATATGTTTTCTTTTACAGATTTTTTCTATCTCAAACATTTTACACATTAGCTGATATGTGTTCATCAGGTGCTGATCTACGGAGTTAGATTGTCCAATTTTGTTTAACACGCATAAAAAGTCATATCGTTAGATTATATAGCCATTAACAGATTTTTTTTGTCCCGCATTCCAATGTCACTTTCAAAATGGCCGTTTGATTTCCTTGGCCAATCCCGAGTTCTGGCATTTGGGGAAAGCTACGCAAACCATTTGCTGTGATTTGAATATGGAAGATATAGAAATAAGAACGTGGAGGGGAAGCTGGAAGTCATAGAATTAAAGAACGCGAATAGATTAATAAACAAAAGCAATAAATTTATTTTGAACTCTCGGTACAATGGCGCATTTCATTTTGAGAAGTATAAAAAACGAACGGCAGAGCGTGTCCTAAGGAGAGGGTAGATTCACAGCTTAGAGCCGCGATACCCCGTTCACTGTGGCAAATCATCCCAATACCGCTCGTGTTTCTTTGATAAGGATTACGTCTTACTGAGAACTGTGGAACAAACACCCGAGATGATGCTCCCCCACACCTGATGACTATACTCTTAAACTCTTCAAAACAAAATTGGACAAATCAAAAGTGGTCACCACCCAGTTGGATTCAAACGCAATCGTAAGGCTCCTATTTCATTCAAGAATGATACAGACTATCGCCACTAACTCATAAATATAGCAGAACTTAAAACTATATTTTTATTTTTTTTATTTTTTTAAGCATTTCACCCCAAGCAAGGCGAGAATGCCACTATTGCACAGTGGGTTACATAGAATGAAAGTAAGTGAAAAGACTGGGTATGGGAGGTGAGGAAATGATAAAAAGAAGGAGTATCACGACATCAGAATTATTATTATCATTATTATTATTATATATATATATATATATATATATATATATCGATCCCTGCGTGCGGCACCTTTGGAAAGTGCCTGAAAAACCATACCACGAGCTGAAAAAGGCCTTGTGAGTGAAATTGGGTAGACGGAACACTTGTGGGGCGTCGTTAGTTGTGGTAGCACAACGCCACAAGCCATCGTGGCCGAGGGCTTGAGTGTGTTGACCTTGCTCAAATTGATAATCACGCTAGATAACACGCTTGGAAAATCACTATACCTTCACGTACACATATATTTTTTCTAAAGTGTTATAAAAACAATGCAGGATGTTATATAACAGAGCTATTAAGTATATATTAGTGAATATAAATAATATAGCACATCGATAGCCCGAGTCGGAGTTTCATGCAAACCATGCAATCTTCAGGTTCAAAATACTTGCATAAATATTTTGCAAAATACTTACGTAAGTATTTTGCACCTGATAATTGCATGTTTTCATATAACTCCAAGTCATGCTATCGACATGGAATATCATATATATCCACTATTATAAATAAAATAAATCCCAAAGAGCCAAGAACAACCTACCTAGGATTAACTTAAAC